GAGGAAATGCTAAAGGACTTCCTGTGTGTATTGGCAAAACAAATCAGTTTTAGCAGCAGAAAAAGTACCAGAGGTCATTTTCAGAGCTACCCAGATACGTTAAACTAAATTAAGGAACAGCTTACAACAAGAATCTCGTCCCTGGGCCGGCATCCATTGGATGTGGTTTCCATTTCACTGCGAGCTCTCCCTGYTTTCTGCAGTGTCCCCAAGGCAGCAGCTGAGGATGTCACCCATGTGTTGAGCTTAAGAATCAAACGAGCAGTTTGTCATCTGAAATCACTGCACTGAAAGCCAAATGGCACAGAACAACAATGCTTTCCATGCTGCTGACAAGAATGATTCAATGGCCCTTGYTAATGCCACCTTGATCAGATTCATTTCTCAGCAAGCACAAAGTCTGGGAAACAAGAACTGGTGGATGCAGCTGGATGTGCTGGAATATCTTTTATTTATTTTGAGGTGGGATTTGCAGGTGACAGTGCAATTGACAGGACTGCTGATATAGTACCCCTTGGAAAGACTCAGCCAGTTTCTGCAGCTGCCCCTTTATTCCTGCMGGCACTGGCTCCTCTTCCAATTGTTCTGGGCAGATCACTGCTAGAGCCCAGGGGTTTGAGTCCTGCAATACCTCCTTGAATGGATGGACAGGCTTTTATTCTGTAGCACACTGTGAAGAGTGTGGTGTTATTCACAAAAATTGAACCTTTASTATGAGGGCTTCCTTTCTCCTGACTCATGGGGTAGCGTTCGGGTGTGACATGTTGGAGAGAAGTGATGTGCAAAGCAYCCGCTAGAGCTTTCAAAGAGTTTCAGGGAGATGCTTGATTTGTTTGGAAGGACAGACTTCACCTACCATGTGTATTTCTTTGAGCATCTTTTCTTAATACATGTCAGACTCAGTGAACTGTGGGATGTGACRTGGGGCTTTAACTCCCAGCACAAACTTGGATGTTGTCTTAGGCCTCRACACTGCGGGAACAGGGGTTTGGGCCAAGAAGCTGCGAAGCAAAACAACATCAAGGATAGAAAGATTTACATGGCTGAAGAAAATTGAGAACAGATGATCATTWGAAATTTTTCCTAGTTAAGTCGTCATGAAGGGAAAAGGTTGCGGTCACCACAAAGGGACTAGCAAACAGAAGCACAGAGGAAATTGCTGCTGCCAAGAAACAAGCAGAGGGAAGGCGGTTTACCCACTRGTTTCAATGGAAACCACAGAAATGCTTAGAAAAGGAACATAGAGTGCTGCAAGAGCCAGAAATTGCAAGCTAAGGCCCAGATCCAGCAGGAGCTGGAGGCGGCACAGGCTCACAGCCACAGACAGGTGACAGTCTTGAYATGTGACCTGTCCACCTCTATTCCTATGTGCTCAGTTTTGCCCCCCCCAGCCTTCTCTCCAACTTCTGCTTCTCCAGGGACAACTGAAAGCCCAGTAGGAAACGGGAAATCTACTGACTGGGGGCTACGGATGCAAGCTTTAGAGTTGCATTTTTCATATTAGAATATCAAAGGCAGTAAGTCTATTTCCAATATGTCTCCATTTTGTGCAAGCCCTTTTTGTCATTTAAAATATATAATGTAAGATTTGTAGGGGATTTCTAGCTCATTTCAGTTTAACTTTGTTTTRTCTGCTTGTACCCTCCCTGGTAAAACTATAGTATATTCCAGTCATTTCAGTCCCTTCTTCTGACCACTTTGCCAGCTTRATGGAAACAGCTCTGGTCTGAGCAATGGAATAAATGAGAGAGACTTCAAACCCCCTGAGAAYCTCTATTCCACCTCTGGCCTGCTTCCAGTACGGTAGTAATTGTACTGGAATTGTACAATTATAGCAGCATTATRTATAGAAAATTAACATGAGTTCTTAAGTCATTCAACAATAGCTAAGCATAATTATTTATACTGTAGTCATAGAATTCCTGAGAGAAAAAAAAACTCTAGGCTTTTAGGGAAGGAAAATTRTAGCAATTACTGGCCTAGTAGCTCTTTTTAAAGCAATGTTGATGTATGTGAAAGAAAGAAAATTTAAAAAAATTCTTTAACCTGCAGCACGAGCTCTAATGCTGCAATCAGTCTGCACACACTCACTTCAGGAAGCAGAGGGAGCTGTCTGATGGCAATTACAGTTCCCACTGCCAGGGAGCCAGGTCACAGTTAGCAATCTGGGACTTCACATCATACCTGGCAAAAAGACAGGCCTCATACGTTTGGGAAGACGAGAGGAGATGCATCACCTTATACTGTAAGATAAAGCTGGTATTTCATTTATACCTACAGAATAATTATATTTGCAATGACTGAGTCAAACCAGTAACAGCTATTCACTGACCTGGGGTATTTACAGCAGGAAACTAAATTTGGTTCTTTTGCAGTGGGAAACCTCACACACACACACCTCTTCTTGAAAAAGATTGACTAATTGAAGAGCCATCATGATGCTAAACAGTGTGAAGAAATATAGCCCCCCTGAAACATAACACAGTCAGATACAAGTTAAATACTTTTAAAGTGCAACCAAAGTAAATAAACCCACCAAATTATTCTAGCAGCATACCTACTGGCAAATTAAAACCGTGAGTTATTAAGAGTCACAGTTACAATGAATTAGTAATTTTTTTCCACAAATAGGAAATCCTGGTGTAATCAAAACAACTGTGGTTCTTTGATTCAGCACTATGAACCCAGCAGATGGAGATCTCATCCCACAGCCCAGTGAAGCTGTACTCCTTGAGATAATCAAGAGCTGTGCTAGTGTGGTTAGTGATGGCCAGTGCTGTGCATGTGGCAGSAGAGTGGATTACCTGAAAAGAGACAGTCAATAAGGGCCTTGTCTTCAGAGGGTGCTCACAGCCAGGCAATGCAACAAGGAACCACACAAAGCATCAAACTAATGGAAATAAAGACTTTATCTAGTGGCAAGTCTGGCCCTATGCCCACAAGAACAAATGTCAGTCTTTCCCTGCAGGCAATCTTCCCAAAAGTAAAGGAAGAAGCTTAATTGAGATTAATGGCTTTTTTTGCTGAGGCCCATGGGAAGTCCTAGTAAGGCAATGTGTTAAATAGTCAATGTAATTTATAATACATGCAATCTTTAGAAGATATAAATAGCATATGACACTGAATGAGAAATACCTCATGCCTTTCTCACTTTGCTTTTTAGAGACACTTTCCCCTGATGAGTTTAAAGTTAGCATTCAAGTTTCTATTTTTTGGAAGGCCAGCATGCTTTCTTTATACACCAGCTTAATTGAAACTCTTAATGGTGTCACAGGGAGCAGGTCCTGCTCCAAACCAGCTTACATTGCGGTCACATATGATAGGCTTCTGTAAATCTAAGCTAAAGTAACTGTACTTACATTTGTTGATTTTACTTGTAGTGACTCATTTTTTTTTTTCTAGGCTTTCTTGGATGTTAAAATTAGCTTTACTCTGTTTCCTATCACTTGCATTGTTCTTGCATATTTGTACTCACAGTTGTGACACAACACCTTTCCATATAAAACCAGGCCAAAAATTTTCATACAGTAATTCCTGCATCAAACCAACTGTTCTTAGTTAAATCAGACTGATATCCCATTAAAGGGTATCTAATTTGAGAATTTCACATGATGGAGATTTAATAATTCATATAAATATCCCACACACATACTTTCAAAGGTAAGGGAAAATATTTTACTATTTCCTTCCTTATATAATTGTTCAGTATTATACTTCAATTGTTCTGAAAAGTCCTACACAAAACAGTCATCATCATGCAGAACGTAATTTTTTCTGATACATGCTGGGTATGTAAAGACATGTACATGTTCTTCTCATCTATACCAAGAAATATAAATGCACTCACAAATACACATATCAATATACTTATCCARTCTGAAATAATGACATTCAGATACTGAACAAATTACCTTGTAACTGGCAGAAATAACTCAAGATCTGTAATATTTTATCCTCAGATTTTTCTGTTATCATCATTGCTAAACAATGTTCAATTTTTCCTCAGTAGATAGATCTATTAAAACAGAAATCCATAACTTTTCCCTTTCTTTATCARGTCTATTTAAAATCATTTGCTTGCATTTTCCCTTTTCTTCTAACCAAAATTTTAAGTTTGCTTTGTCTAAAAGTCTGATTCTTTCAAATGCTCTAATGAAACACAAATCCCTCTGTGTTTTGCAGCCATCCTTCCTTTTAACCTTTGCTTTCAGACACTTGCATCTTCTCATCTCCTCTTCTCTTAGTTGCTGTTCTTGAGTGATCAGCACTCCCAATTCATGTGTCATCACCCTCAGCATAGCTGTCACCATTTGAAAATTGTAAAACATTACAGAAGAAATTCATGCAGGTGTAATTCTGTTGGCCACAGAGAGCTGTACTGACAACAGTCTTGTTGTTGTCCTAACATTTTACTGAACAATCTGTGCGTCAGCTGAACGTTCCTTTATGCACCATACAATCATCTTCCATAATTTTTAGTGCTTTACATTATGCATTGTATGCTACACTAATTGATTTAATAAGTTTCTTTGCATGTATTTTTCTCATGACTAGTTTGCTTCATAAAATATTTAATTTGGAAATAAAACTGTTAAGAAAACTCATCYTAATTGAAGCATGCTCATCCTACCCTAAAGCAACCAAAATCAAATTTCTTACATACTATTAAAATCAATGACAGTTCTATGAATAATGCATAAGGCAGCAATTAATCAGAATGTGTCTATATCAAGAAAAAGAAAATCTTATATTTCAATGATTTCAAAATCTACTCTTATTTTTCAATATATTTGGTATTAAAAGAAGTCCTAAAATTATTTTATCTCCCACAAGAGAATGGTGGGTTGCCCCAAAATATGGTCTAGAATCCAAGATTTTTAATCACATTTTTCATATTATACACATGAGTAATACATATTATACACATTGAGTAATAATATCTCAATAGTTCTGTCMAAAGTGATCAAGGTTCAGTGCTTGTGGTCCTTACTCTATCTGTTGTTACAAGATCACATTCAATCCACAATTAAAATGAAATAGTTGTCTTAGCATTTCCCTTACTATTTTTAAGGTGAAGGATAATTTTGCCTGGCTTTTGTCTCATATTCTTAAGGAAAYAAAAGATCTCACAAAAATTATATGAGACAAATGAGTAACTTTTAAGATAAACTTTTATTGAAAAATTAAAACTGCATTGCATAACTTCTTTATAACTTCAACATTTCTTAAACCACAAAACAGAGATTCTGTTTAAAAAATCTCTTCATATTTGTCACCATTCAAAAAACAGATTATGAGCAAAGTCCATGATGATTTTAAAATTCTGAGTTATTCCCAAGGCCCCTGGTTTCATCTGTCTGCTGTGAATCATCCAATCTATCTTCTCTAAAAATTACCTTTAATAACACAATCAGAAATTTTCTCATTCAAAATCAACAGCTGCTCCTGATTTTTATCCAATGGTCAGACAGTTCCAAATAAATTGTATCAGTTAATAAGCACTGCAGCTACCTGTTCAGCTAAGATCTTTACCTGTTCAGATCAGATCTAATTGATCTGAATTCAYGCATGCAAAGTTACAGTGGTTGTCCATGTGATTTTAAAGGCAAAATTGCTACCCTAGAGTATATTTTAACCCTCAGAAAAACAAAGTTGCTCACCTGGAATTAAAATGCTTTGAGTTAGTCAATAMTTCTGTATATCCATACATCCTAATCTCTCCCAGTCAATAGTATATAGATTAAAAAGCAGGAAAATTCTAGGTAAGCATTAGTCTGAGAAGCTGTGGCATATTACTCAGATGGAAATGACCTAATAAGAAAAMAGATGAGTTTTCTCACTAATGACTATAGCTGCTCTGTTAAAATAAGCTTACCAAATCAGAAATTAATATGAGAACAGCGTCTGTTGAGCATGGTAGATGTAACAGGAAAACACCCCAGAATCTGATATTAGAACTAAATAACTAAATGCTTTGCAAAAATCTAATTGTGCTTCTCTGTGTCAAGACACAGCACTGCAGGAAAGAAAGATAAATGCAGAGGGGAGGAAGATAAATTTATGCCCTCTGCCTTTAGAGAAAACATCTATGCATTACTGTCTCGCTTCCAAAATGGCAGGAGGAGCACCATTATTCCCACCTGGCTGCAAACCATCACYGGCAATAGGAAGAACCTCTGACGCTTTTGACCTTCAAAACACGAGATACTCCACTAAATGAAGAAGCAGAAATTTTAATGAGCAAAACATTATAAAAGTACTGCAGARCTCTAGATGTGTTTCTGACTACACCACAGAACTGTCAGGAGCTTGCTGTATGAATGCCAGGATGCTGTATTGAGGTCTTCACTGTAGCTTTGTGGTCAGGATGAGGAGGATTCTCTTCACCTWGTTTATATGCTTCAAGGAGATTTAACATTTCAAATACATTAAACTGTTATTAGAATACTGAGATGTTGATCTGGATATGAGGTTTGTGAGGGTCAAATATCAAGTTTAGAGGATTGAGGGTAAGTTAGAGCTTTAGTTACACTGTTATTAAAATACTTGACAAGGAGTTGGAGGAAATCRAAATTCCCACCTAAGAACTGGTGGAAATCGTAGGAACCATGGTGCTTCTGTGGTAGACATAAAATCCTCTAATGAAGCTAAGTCACCAGTTGTACATCTTTGGATTGATCRTATTAATTCATATTGTTTCCCATTAACAAGAAGGATTGACAATTTTTTCAATCTTCTGTAGCTGCCCTCTGAAAAAAGTAAATTTGACTGAGACCAGAATTCAGACAGAAGTTTTTAATAAAAATGTGGCATGTATTCCTTCAAAACAAACTTCTTTCTGTGCTCTAAGAACAGCTGTCAATRAGAGACCCTCTAGTTTTGATGAATAGAAGGTATTTATAAAGAATGGCACTTAATATTAYGCAAGTTAATGCTCAAGTCAATGTTCATGCTGACTGCTGTGCTGCAGGCCTCAGGTCACAGAGCATRGATGTTTACATCAGGAAATGTCAAGGGTTGAATCCACATTAATACTATAGGGTTATAGTTCAGGGAGATTGAGGCTGAAGGGCAAAAAGGCAAGAAACCAACTACACTGTCTTGAGGAAAAAACCTGAAGAAAGGAATATTGCATTGGTAAGATGACCAGGGGGTTTAATGTTATAAAAGTAACAATATAGATACTATTTTGAAAATAATGCTCATAAATCTAAAGATCGGTGACAAACCTACAATAATTTTTAGATCCAACWCAATTTGAAGAAAATATTTTACAGAAGGCTATGACAGAGGAATAAGCAAGAGTCCTATGAAAAGCTGGAAGGGCTATGCTATACAATACAGCATTTAYCATAACAGTTTTTCTTCTCCCTGTGCTAACACAGCCAAAAATGTGAAACACCTTCCTCAATAGACAGCCAGTGGGACCTGCAGGATGGAAATCACTCCTACTTGTAGGTGTCTTTCCATGGGCACAGCATGACTCTATTAAACTGAAAGTTTCTAAAATAATTCAATTTTATTACTGAGATGGAGGGGAAGGAGAAAAAGAGATTGATTACTGACTTGCATAGAATCATGTATGAAAACACTTGAAATCAGCATATTCCATTTATCATCATGACACTAACTCAGTGAGCAGAGGATTATTGAAYCTCCATTTTGTTCCACTACTCTGTTTCCAGTATGGACTTTTCCACTCAGAATTATCGATTATCTAATGATTAAAATTGATCAAGCTGAAGATGAATCCAGTGTCTATACTTTGAAAAGCCTAACCAGCTAAAATTATTGGGAAAAGCCAGCTGTATTAAAAGATACTGAGATTACTTTTGGTTTTATTTATTTTATAAGCTCCAAACAGAGTGAACTCCATTTCACTAGAAGAATGATGCTCATTAAAATTCCCACAGAATTTAGTTAAAATGGTCACAGAGGTCAGTCCTGAAATAAAACTCAAAACCAGGGGCCTTGGTTAGCAGTCAATATTCAGTAAAAAAGCATTCAGAGCACTGAACAGACAGTCTGACATTACAATAAATAAAACTGAAATTTCTCGTAATTCTAATAGATTAAAGGGATCTCATAATTTGACAGTATACACACAATGTTAGAATTCCTTATCTTCAGTAAAATTATCTGTAAGTTATACTTTAAGGGCACTAGGATTTAAAYGAAAGTGTCAACTAATATTTTCATATTTTTTCTTTGGCTCACAAAGACACTAAAATACCATAAACATTATTTAGAACTTCAATAATATATAAATARGTTACATTACAAATGGAAGAAAATACAAGACAACTCTTCAGCATGGTAAATCTCTGCATATAAATAAGCAAATATTTCAGATACCTACAATTCAACRGTTATCTTGCTGTAAAACTATTACATTTAAATCCTTTTACACAAAGTAATTTAACAATAGTATACACAATCTACACAAATTAACCTCTAAAAATACAGCAATAATATACCTGTTACAATGACTCTGCTACTGTTATGCCCTGATTTGACACTAAAGGGCAAGTACAACTATTTTGCTCAAAGGTGCTCTTAGAGATTGCTGTTTTGTATGTGAGAAAAGCACCAACAGTAAGATCTAATACCGTTATACATTTGCTTTAGCTCCTAAGAATCTACATTTTAGAAATGTTTCTATATGTCTATTTCTGTCTGGCAGAAAAACTTGCAGCACATTATCCACATCAAAGTTGTTGAAGGAAAAGTTAATTTTCTTAAAGTGGAAAACATGCTGTGGCTTAGATCTAAGTTTATAACCACTTTATATATATATATATATATATAGATATATATATATATGTATGTATATAGAATTATGTATATTTATTTATACTGTACATATATACTGTGCAGAGTTCTTAATTTGCTATTTTAATACTTATTAATTTCCTGCTGACTACAATAAACAAGACCAATGTAAGAGTCAATAGTACTTCAACTTCAAGATAATACGTTTTCCCTCAATAATATGATCTACCAATACATATATATTTCAGTAGCCTATAATTGTTTTGTTTAAGGATGTCTTAGGAGATTGGAACTTACAGAAAGAGAATTTCCTTAAAACTTGTTCTGCAGAACTGGGTTAAAGTATCGCCAGTGCTGGAAAACAGTGAATCACAGAAATAAATAATTCAACCACTACAGCTCCTGCCCCAATCTCTCTATTTCCTCAATGAGGAAGTCAATGTCAGACTTGGTTGCTGCTGGGTTTGAGATGACCATTCGGAAGAAGTTGACTTTGTCGCCCTGAGGCTGATATCCAACCATGGTGGTACCTGACTCCATCATCAATGCCTTGATTTTTGGTGCCACCTTTATCATAAAAGAGAGAGGGAGAGAGAGAAGGAAAAATTACTCTTTCCTTGTATGTCACAGCATTTCTTAATTTGGAAAAGATAAACAGAGAGGCACTTGTTTTAATAAAAAATGTCTGTAACAGAAAAAGCTTAAAAACCGAAATATGTAGGATTGGCTATTTAAAGGAAAATTGACAACAATAATATCTGTCTGTTTGGTTTACAGATTAATAGATCCTAGAGTATTTTATATATTAAATGTACATCTCATTTCTTTGTGCTGAAGATTTTTTCATGATGAAACATTTTCTGCTTCTTTATGGAAGTTCACTTCAGACCTTTTTGAGGGTAACGGATGTTTCCCATGAGAATATTATATATCCTCAAAGCAACTTGTGTAGGGGGACAACAATGGAAATTTTTCAACAAGATCTATGTCATAAAGAATATTTTCTGTTGACATAAGCCATGGAAACCTTCCAGTAGTTTTGCAGTACTGTGCATTTACCGCAATCTAACTTCCTTGGTTTAATTTACAAAGAATAATGCCCTGACAGTCTTAATATTTGCTATTGACTAAGCCCAGTTTTTCCATCCAGACCTTCCTTCTCCTGCTCTACTCTCTGCCAGCCAAGGTCAGATGTCTGGCTCTTTTACTGTTTTGTAGAATGCTTTATGATGTCTTCTAACATTTAATAGGGTCAAATCAAATATTTCATCCTTCTTGCTGTTTCTTACCTCTTACCTCTGTCTTCCTCTATTCTCTCTCTTTTTTAATTTTTTTTTTTTTGGCAATTTTTTTACTAACATGTTGCTTGACCCAGGAATTTCTATTCTCATCTATTCTCTTTCCCCATTGTAGTGCAGTCATAAAATCCTCTACAAAATCTCCCAAGTCTGCCCATCCTTCTCCCTTCCCTAACACACAAACACACATACACTCACACACAAAAGAGCAATAACTTGGCACCTATAAAATCATTCTTTTGTCTCCTGACCGTATTTCATTCCACTTCTGTCTGTCTAAAACACTACTACAAAATAAATGTATTTTGTTCCCCTCAAGTTCTAAGTAACATTTTACTTTTTCCTGATGATGTCTTCTATGATGCCTTCATTTCCCTCTACCACTTCAAATAAATTTACCCCGAAGTCCTCCAAAAGGTATTCCTTTTCACTGAAATGCATTAATGCATTGGCATTTAAATCAAAATAAATACCTGAGAAGGATCTTGCAGGTTTGCATGTCCTCTACCTGTCCAAGCATTTTCAAATAATTACCCTTCTGTTTTTCTTGCTGGTAGGCTGTCCACTCCAGACAAGTCTGTGATGCCTGTAGGCCTAGCTACTTTTTGCATCCTTGTAACACCTGTGAGCACAGGAGTGATCCAAACCAAAGGATAACTAAGTGTTCTGACTCTGACTCTACAGGGAAAACGTGACTTCAGCATCAATAGGAGACAAAAGTGAACAAATGTCAAGGTCATAACAAGCAAGGGAGAACTGATGTCTCCGAATTTGGAATATGTGTCAAAACACAGATATATTATTTCTAATAAATAATAAACTTTGGGTTGAAAGAGTAGATTATCTTTTTACATTTAACCAAAAATACTTACCCTGTGTAACTTTTCTCTCCTCTCATCAGAGTCTGGCATGCCCCTGAGACTTGGAGGAATATACCAAAAACACACATTTGTATGCTCAGGCTGCARAAAAAACCACAAATGTATACATCAATTAAAAAATAATACAGATCAGTTCCATAGTAAAGGCTAGTCACTGGCATATCTTATCACAGACATGAAAGACAAAATCTAATATTAACTTTCCTAGTCCTGCGTGCTAAACAGATAGAAATGGATTGTAGTACTGCTGCTYGCATCTGCTGCCTTAGATTCCCTATACATCATCCCATTTACAATATTTAGGTGCTAATGAACTGCAAATGCTTTGTGCAGTTTTATGAGTAACTTTTTTTCAGGATCACAGTAAGGGCAACCCAATTTTCCTTTTCTTGGTAAATGGAGAAATTAAGTTTATACTATTAGCCAAAGGTTTATGTAATGGCACTAGCAACAGAACATACAGCAAAAATAGCAGGTTCTCAGTGTGCATAATAATCTCATTATGAGTACAAAAACAATTGTATTTGACCAAAAAACTGCCCAGTTGCCAATAGTCATGTATTTAGAGAATAAAAACAGTTTTGCATAGCTGTCTTGAAGAACTGTGAGAAGCATGAGGACAGACTTGGCTCAAATATATGTGAAAGCAAACTTACCTCCCCTTCAAAAACCATCTCAAATTCTTCTCTGTTTTTGATTTTAGTGTAGAGATATTCTGCCAGCTCCAGGCATTTATTTATCTGATTTTCAAATCCTACTGTACCCTGTTTTAATAAGCAAGTAAGAATTATAGGGTCATTTTTTTCTGTTTCGATGCAATCATATTTTCAGACAGGTTTTCACTTTTAAATATTTTCAGGTAGAAAACATTTAGTAATATTATTTCTTGTAACTTAAAAGCGGAGTTTATCAACATTAAAAAAGTGGCTAACGGCAGCCTAATTGTAATTCATTATTTGGTTTTGTCTCGTTTTAAGATAATTTAATATGAAAATGGCAAGKACTTTCACTATTTTTAGTAGATTATTTTAAGTATTTTGTATTTTTTTCCAGTTTCCAAAAATATGCTGGATATTAGGTCTTGGCTTCACAGCTGTTGCAGAAAGACCAGAAACTTGGAATGGCAGCTTAGTTGAAAGGGTAAGCATTAGGAAGCTATTTCCTCTAAGCAGTTTGCTAGAAATGTACATTTAAGTCAGCAAGCAAAAGTCTGCAATATGTTTACTAGAAGTCACCCGCCTACCCACTGATCTTTTGTCAAGATCATAATCCCAGCAAAAGTATATGAGTATTGATAATAAATATTTGGGGTTTTTTTAAAGAATGCTTTGTACATGAAGAAGAAGAAATCACTTTCTACCAAAGTGCAAATTGTTTTATGATTGTCAATTTTACCATTAGATTTAATATCAATTTAATAAAAAAAAATAGATTCTGAACAGGCTACACAAATGAATTCCCATTTTGCCCTCAGAAGAGCAAGAATAACATAATGAGATGACTGCAGATAAAGCAATAAAAATGAAATATGTTTTCTTGACTACATGAACCCTCCTTTTGTGAATGTGTAAGTCTCACCATGAGCCCATGTTTAAATTCAGCCATCCAGGCTGAATACCACAGTAGTACCACGTAATCAACTGTTGAATTGTCAGTTGGGTAAGGCTTCCTAATAAAAAGACTTGGTTTTAGGTTACTAAGTTACTTATAAAATCTATGCATTGAAATGTCAAGTTCAAAGGACTCTTGAGGTCATCAAGGCCACTCTGCTGTTGCTACAAGCAATCTGTCATAAAATACAAATGCAATTGTAGAGAATCACAGCAAGAGASCATTTTGGTGCCCTGCCCTCAATGGTTTTTCTGCAGGACTCATACCTTTCTGCAGTGACTTATACCTTTCTTCTAATTGCCATCTGAATTTATTGATAGCTAACATTGTTCYACAATTCAAATAATTCTTTTCTGAGTTAATACTTGGATACTTGTGCATGTAGAGATGGTAATTACACAAACATTTACGTTAAAAGAAAGTGTTCCATTATGACATTTATAAATTAAATAAATGCRTTACTGGTTTTTGAGCTAAACTCTTTTTATTTACCTTTGCTTTCCACATCAACCAGAATTTGAAAATGTCYACATGTCGACCACACTGTATTGCCTTGTCTCCAGTGTCATAGGAGACATCATACTGTTTGTCTGGCTGGAAGAGGTAGCCTGCACACATTTGATTGCAGCCTTGAAGGATTCCCTGTAATGAAAAACACGTGCACTTATGAGACTTAGCTGGCATATGTGCATGAGAAAATGTACACATTAATAATGTATAAAAATTTATTTTAATTATGTACAGAATAATTGTTCTTTAATGTTATAACATTAAATGTTCTTTAATATTATAACATACTGACCTTGTTTCGTAAAGCTGAGCCACAAAATTAATTTTATAAACTAAGGTGTTTCTCTCAGAAATCTCTGAGTAGTCATACGGTTTATATGTCATATGGCTTATAATAAACACACCTACCTGAAAAAACATTCTCACATTAATTTGGATACTTAGTTTGTGATGTTAGCTTTGTCCACTTCAATTTGTAAGGCTATGATCTTAACACTTAAATTTCTGATTTACTAAATTACACACCAGAATAAAACTGTGGTCTCTCAGTTCAACAGATTACTACACAAAATGAAGTGAAAAAACTTAATTGAAAGTTTAAATTTTGTATATTGTTCAGCTTTATGACAGTTAACACAAGAGATGAGTACAAATTACATAAACCAGACATTCTTTGCTTATAAATACATATGGTTCACAGACCAATAGAAATCTATGGACTACTAGTAAAAATGTCTGGTAAAAACACAGAGGAGCAAATTCYTGTATGTTACATGGAAGTCTTAGGTGTGACATTTCTAAAATGGTTTGCATTTCCCTTCGAGTTTGTTAGTGTTTTATGGAAGAAACTTGAAGACACCAGTGTGTCTGACAACTACAAAAATACCTATCAAAGTTCTCATATAGGGAACAAAAACTGCCAAAATCCTGCAGTATTTGGCACAATAAGCATGCATGCCACTAAACAAAGGCTCATGCTTTCCTTCCATAGATGCATTTTACAAAGGAAAATAAACGCTGCAGTCTTCAGTTAAAAGATGGATCAACTGAAAGAACTATGGCTGCAACTTCCAATTCTTCCATCCCTGTTCTATATACAGGGATTACTTCTTCAACTAAGCTCTTCTAGTAGCAATTGGCATACAAGAGATTATTAGACAACAATTAGTCCTATGCACAGATGATATGACTCCCTATTTTATCATTTAATAAAAACACATATAGCTTAAAAGAAACAAGGCACTGGTTTTGCTTTCATTGGTGACAACAAAGAATCTAGATGACAGCCCTAAAAATACGGAGAGTCATRAAAAAACCAGCGTGTTTCTTTTCAACATAACTGAGAAATGTGTAAAACTACTGTGTATGATGAAGTTGCTTCTTGTTTAAGCAGTTTAGACTGCAACCAAGTAGTAATATGAGTATACTGTATATTCAGTGTATCATAGAAACAGCAGGGCAGGAGTCAGTACATTTCATGGCTCTATTGCTGCTATTAGAATATGCAAAGATCCAACAGGTGAGGATCTGACCCATGTTGTCTAGCACTTCAGGAAAGCCAAAAGAACACAGGACAGATTAAACAACTTCCAAAACACAGTGTGTATCCACACAGTTATTCCTTCCAAAAGTGTTTTTGAAATTAAACAAATTTTGCAGTACCCTCTTTAAAGTAGGGCTTGATAATTACTTTTTTTTTTTTAATGTTTAATTATTAAATATAAGGCAGACCTTCTCCCGGACAAGAATGGCAGAACATTGTAACAACACTCCCATCATCTTGTGTGGATTCCAAGTGACTGAGTTGGCTCTGCAAAAAAATTACACATTCAGGTAGGTCTGGAAAAGAAAAAACTTGATCTGAAGCAGTCACCTTTGTTTTCTGCTTTCAGCTGGAAATATATGGAGTTTTGATCATGAAGACATCACTATGGSTATTATTACTGTCTTAATAATAAAGTGCATTCTTTCCCAGTTATGCTGTCCAGGAAAGGCATTTTTTTGTGTTAACATTGCAATCTCAGACTTGTGATTATTTTATATTATTACCAGCTAATTAGTATCAGACTGATTAGCTGATACAGTAACATCATCCCCAGAAGAATCCACTTCTAGAAATAGCACTAATAAGAATAACAAGACTGGTTTGATATGTTCTATCAGCTCAAGGTACTGATGGGAAAGTGGGGGTGTCAGAGAATTAGGGGACTCGAATTGTGGGAGAATACAGTTCTTTATCAAACAGCCGCTGGAAAAGTAGAAAGGAAAAGAAAAGACACTCTGCATGCTTATCTGCTTTCCCCGTTAGAGCCACAGCCCTTGCTTGTCAAGCCCATGGACTGTTAAAAGGCTCTAAAACTTTACATCAYGTCCGACCATTCTGTATGTAAAGCTTAAAACTTCTTACATGTAAACACAAGTGAATGCACAAGATCACCTCATTTACAAGTCAAACAGATGTTCTGTATTTTACCATACTATCCAAGACAGTTTAACGATGATGCTAAAATAAATGTGCCAACATCACATATCCATTGACCTTTTCACCCTGAGTAATTAATTACCAGCTGTCTCCTTGATTCACTGTGTGTTCCAGGGAAGCAAAGTGCATAATTGCATTTCACAGACTATGCACGTGTTTTTACAATGTGGTTGAAAGAAAATTAAAAGGTATTTCCTCCTCTTCTACACCCCGCTGTCAGGGGACACAGACACAAACACAGTTTCTTTGTTTTGAGCAACACAATGAAGTCTTTGCCCCAGTCAGAGGACCACTGATTTCTAGATACGGTTCCAAACTCGGTGTGTGCTAGGTTAGACTGTAACACCCCTCATTTGAAAGAACAGTGCAGCCTGTGCTGTACCTGGGGAGCTCACCATCCATTTAAAATCGGCTGCTTATCCAGTGCAAACCAGCAGATAAATAGCTCAGACTTAAAAGGCAATTATCATTTAAAAAAACTTCACTAAATAGTTCAGATGGAGCAGTCAGGAAAAAAAAATTATATGATGAATTATTTCCTTTTTAAAACACCATGCCTTCTGCTTTAACACATTCATTTAACTTTCAGGGTATCAAACAAAGACAAATTGTAGGTCATTCTTCACAAGGAGCATTAGGTTTATTTTAACATGAAGATGTCCCTCTCTCCTCAGTGCAGGCACCCAGGCAGAGTCAGTGGTACCACAGGCAATGCCAGCTCTGTACCATGGCAGCATGCCAGTCCTTCATGCCAGTGTCTCTGACCAGGCCAAGTGCCACCTGAGTGTCAGCAACAGACCCCAGCTGGGGCCATGACAGGCAATTTCACAGTGCACGTGGGCCCCATCCCATGGTTGAAAATGTGTRTAGCTGACCAGGAAAGAAATCATTTCACGCTTCATGGCCTGCTGCTTTCTGTATTTGCTTAAAATTACGGCCTTAATTAGCACCTCTGGGCTGTCCTCTGGTAAAAAGGGGTAGGCCAAACTCCTGTAGCTTAAGAAAATTATTTTGCAATGCTTACTTAATATTAGTCATGTTGCCATGAGTCACAARCACATTGGACTGGGCAACTGATAGGGTTCTGCTACTTCAGGGTGCTCCATGCCACACACTGCTGTCCTTGCGACAGAAGGGTCCACATGGTTTTGCTTCCAGTCCTTCTATATGCTATCTTTATTCTTCACTTACACTTCATTTATTGTATGAGATGCCCAAACTGGGAAASTTTGTTTTCCCTAAGGAAGAGCATTGCTCAGTTTACTCATTTACACCTTTACACAGTGCCCTTATTCAATACACCCAACTCAAGGAAGCAATTTGATGCTAATTTAAAAGTACATGGGTAGAGCTTGSTTCAGATATTTTTTTGTTCCCCTGAAGGCTGATACCTGCAATGATGGAAAAGATCTAGTTTCTGATTCTTCATTGATTTATTTTTTTAATTTTTTTTTCAGCTGGGCAGCACTTTCAAAGGAAATCTAGAGATAAACACACCCATGGGATTATAAATATGTCATCTTCTACCAACTTGTCTTCATTGGATATGGGAACAGCTGTGCCAAAGACTAYACCTGGAATGATTCCTGAGTCGAAATTTTAAGGACCAGTGGGAGGGTCATACCCTCACTCTGCTGTCACTACCAACACAAATGCTTTGCCTCTTTAAAGGTGGTTCAATCACAGGCTGGCTTCTGGTCTCAGTGGGTATCTTGGTAACCTGAGTTATGTACCTGGGAGCACACACATGCTCTTTTCTGCAGACTTCACTCTGACCTCTACAAGAGCTTCCTGCTCGTTTCATGTAATCCCCACGTCACCAGTGCACAGGCCCCTGTGCCCTAAGACAGGTGAGCATCTGTGACCCTTTCTGGCCTCTCTGCAAATGACCTCAGTGTCCTCCCTGGCACAGCAGAAGTGTKTCAGCTATGTATGTGCTATCATAGTCCTTTCCAGGCTTATAGGGACTGAAACTTGCCCCTGAAAATTGCTGCTTATTCAGTCTCTACCTCCTCTCTCTGTTGTATACACCTATCTATTTTATGTGTGTGTGTGTGTATATAAAAGATATATATAATACTAAGTATATATATATAGATATATAGATATATATGTTCCATTTACAGAATACTCATGAGCATATACTCTTTATTTTCTGCAAAAACTTCAAACATCTTTCAGGAAAGAACCTCTACTAGTTCCCACTGTGAGTATTCATGCTCAAACACCTTCCTTGGATTCCTCATTTATTGCTGCTATTCCCAAAGCCCTACATTTCAGAGACTGTCTAGCTCTCACACTTAATTTTTTTCTTCAAATCCTTCTCCATCCATTCGCAGACTTATGACTCCTTCAAAGCTATGCATAGAGCAATTTCCCTTCCTTTTTGCCAAGTAATATACTTGTCTTCCTTCAAATTTGATGAAAACTTACCTCTCACTCATTGGTATACATCACTGATTTCTTCTGTAGTATTGTTTCAGTCTTCCTAGTCTGAACCTTTCCCATCTGACTCACTATTGTTTAATTTAGTGTTTTAACTCCTTAATGCATTGAAGTAATATCTTCATGAATTTTTGAATTGTCATRTACCTTATGAAGTACTTTACTAAGAGTATTACAAATAAGAATTGTGTAGTACCTTTCTATTCCATTCAATTTATGACGGTGCTTTCGGGACATTAAGAGTCCACCTCCCCAGGCAGCCTGGAAGAGACAGAAAGAAGAGAAGACTTGTTTTTTGGAAAAAAATCAACATATTTTAGTTTTCTCAGGAGCTAGTAATAAATATTATAATTCAAGAAAAAAACATATGTGAACTAAAATCTTCTTCTGCCCGAATAGCAGCTCTTTTTTAGTTACTTACATCTACATGGAGCCAGAGGTTGTATTTTTCACATATATCTGCAATCTCCTGTATTGGATCAAAGGCTCCATATACTGTTGTGCCTGCAGTTGCATTTACAAAAAGAGGAACATATCCCTGCAATAAAAATAAAAATATTAAATATAAATGAAAATACTTTCAGAAAAAAAACAAACAAAAAGAAAAGGAAAATAATTCCAGAAACTTTATCCCATTTTCTAACCTAATAATGTTTTTCTTCCCATGTTAAATGCACACATAAGCAACAGTAGAATTACATACACAGTAAGAACAAATTCTGTTTTCACTTCCTTGTAACTTCACAGAATTTACTAATTAATAACTAGAAGATATAAAATATTATTTTGTCYAATCTCTTTCACTGAGGAGATTCAAACAATGTAGCAGGAACTGAGCAATACTCAAGTAAATCTGGGACTTTTACAGCAGTATAAACAAAAATTAATTAAATGTGATTTGTAGGTTGCAATTTGAAGGCTTGAAATTGTTCCTTTAGTCTTTATCTGCTAATAAACAGAACAAAGCAGAACAAAACAATCTAAAATAAAAGCAATGAATGAGGAACTATCAGATCAAAGAGAGACAATTTTGAATTAGATTAAATAAATGTGAACTGCTTTTTCATAGATTGCCCAAATGTAAAACAGTTAAGAAGTAAAAAAAAATTAAAATCTTGATTGCTCTAACTTTGGTTGTTTTATACAAAATTAATGGGTTTTTTCACTGCATTTCTTCAAGAAATAGTAATTAATGCCTAAAAAATTAAGTTTAATTGTCTATATTTARCAAATATGTATCCACCTACATGAAATCTATGGGATTTTTTAGGAGTTCTATAGAAATTTTTAGGCTTTGGCTAAACTTGAAAGTTTAGATAAAAGTAACTTTGATTTTATGTTTTCTTGACTTATTCCATTTTTTTTGAAATGGGAAGTTTTTTTTTAAAGTCATGAACTACAGTTGTGGTTCAAGAGTTAAAATATTTTTGTTTTAAACAGAAAATTGAAATCTTACCAAGACACATAGATAATTCTGTAAACAATACATGAATGTATAATTAAGCATGTAAAAATATTGTTATGATATTTATATCATTATAATTTTCTCTTTAATGTCAACTCTCAGTCTTTGAAGGGAGAAACAGTTTTACTAAGCCAAGTATTTRAGCACTAATTTTTAAAAAGACAAACCTTTTCTTTTGCTTCCAGAATTTTTGCCTCCAAATCAGCTGGTATTATTTTGCCTCTGCAATTATCAAAGAAACAGAAAGACAAAGAAAATTAAATAATGTCTATGGAAATAATAGCTGCAGTTGAAATAATTTAATAGGATTTTCTCAACAAGCCATTAGCAATTTGACACACTGTACTGAATCAGTCCTTAAACACAATAAAACMAATTTAACAGATGAACACATTTAGTCCATCAAAACTTTAGTATTCATCCTACCTTTCATTGCATTTTATCAAAATAACATTRTCTGTTCCAAATCCAAGTGCAGCTCCAGCTTTCTTTATTGAGTAGTGACTCTGCAGCAAACATACGAACATAAAATGGAGTGGAYGTTTAATGACGAAGCATTTTCACAACATATATCAGTAAATTATGAATTAGCAGTGAATTAAGCTCACATGCTCTGAGGTAAAGAGAACCAGTTTAGGGACTGCAGCCATGCCTTTGGTTTTGACTTCAGGGAAATACTTGTAGCGTGCAGCCATTATGCTGTACATGTTGGAGATCGCTCCTCCTGTGAATGAATAAAAAAAAAAAATAATAAAAAGTGATAATGAAAAAAACATGTATATTATACCAAAGACATACAAGTCTCATTTGCATAATGCMGTGAAAGTGGCAGCGAACTATGAAAAAATATTTCTCTGAAATGCACAGGCATCTCTCTGAATAGCATAGGACAGACTCTAGAAAGCCAGAGTGATAATCAGAATTTCCTAAATGCCATCTATTCCAATTGGTATCATTTTGTAACATGTTCCTAAAAAGTTCAGCTTTCATTTTGCTGCTTTTGTATGGTAACTTCTTGTTCGCAGGAGCAACAGGAACTTGTCAACTTGTCTGAGACTGAAGAAATGTCACATATTGGATGGATTTATCCCATCTTACTGCAGACATAGAAATAGACAAAGGTAGATTTCTACAGCTGAGCTACTTATCATTAACTCACAGTCAGTTGTGGGAAAGAGGCACTTCACAGGCTATGRCACTTACTTTTGAAGAATTTGAATTGAGGGAAAGCATCTATTTCTCTTGGTTTGCTGATAAAAAGAGCCCTAAATAATTAGCTCAGTTATTTGGTGCAGACCTCAAGCTTTATTAAGATCAATCTTACCTGTAAGTCTAGGACAATTTCTTGCTCTAAAATGTTTTCAACGATGAGAACATTGAGAAAGATCTGTATTTTTCTAGCAGACTGGAGATCAAGCATGTGTGTACTTAATGTAGGTTGTTGTAAAAGGAGATGGCATTGTTTTTTTATGCTCTGTAGAGCTCCTCAGAGCTCTTATGCTCCTCAAGGCTCTTATCCTCTTTAACAGGATGTTCCCTCATCCAAACCYGGAGGAGTTCCACTGGACACCCACATTGTCCACACATTGGCCCAGGATCTGCTGGTTTATCATCAGTCGTTTCTGTCACTGCTCACTGCCTTTATGTCTTGTATGGGAAGACTGTCTTGGTCTTTGTACTGGARTCATACTTGTGAATTCAATCAGATTATATCCCAGATAATGTGTCCCAGAAAGTCAGACAATCACAATTTTACCTCACTGTGAGCCCAAATCCTCACTGACCACCAAATAAATCAGGATAGGATTTTCAAGAACTGTTAGTCACCAGGCGCTGTGGTTGCTCAGCACCTCTAGAGATGAAGTGCACAAAAGGGGTGTTTAAATGCCTAACTATGCAACRGAGCCTGAAGCCAAGTTTGAAAATGCTGACCAGCATTTTGCACCCCTTCTTTACTGTGGGATGTTTAAACAAAGGATTCCTACTTCAAAATATCTTAGTCATTGCTTTGTGTTACAGTAAATATTCAGACACTGACTATATTTATTTTAACTTTTGAAATAATAGTCAAATCACCAAAACAGAAAATAAAAACTCACCAGGTGAGAATATTCCATCACCATCTTTACTTGACCATCCAATAATCTCCCTCATCTTTCGAAGTGTTATTTGTTCCATGAGGACAAAAACAGGGGCAATTTCATAGGTAAACCTGCAAGGATAAAACAAAACAAACAAACAAACAAACAAAGTCAKATACAGATTCTAAAAACAGATCATGAATTCCCAGTCTGTGATTATTAGTTAAAATGCTTCAAGTTTCTAAAAGCTTTCCTGTAAATTGAGCTCTGATCCTGCAATGTTTACCAAAAAAAAAAAAAAAATCCTCAGGAAGACACTATGGGAAATAATGGTGAATAAAAACTGCAGCTTTAGTTAGTTTGCTGCTTTCTATATAGTGAATGTAAGATGTAATGTTCACCATCATAATGCTGCTGACTTCTGTACAGGGCTGTTCTGTAAAACAGTTGTTTCCCAAAGTGCCAATTCCACACTTGTGGTATAACATACTGCTAAATCCTTATGAAAACAGTGAACTTCACTGAGCTAAACACAACCATAATTAGAAGTATTGAGTTAGGGTTTTCAAAGTCTAAATATAATTAATTATGTGGATTTATTCTGTTGATGATCTCCAAGGACAACTTACTTCCACAATACAATGTGATCAATAACTGTCAAGAGTAATTACAAATGATGATTTTCTAATTACCAATTACCAAAACCAAGTCAGCAGTCAACTATTGTATCCACTTAATGAGGGCAAAAAACATTACATATCCTGGCATGCCCTGATGTCAGAGTCAGATATGTGGATGGGAATTGACAACCATATAACTATTTTTGGTGATCAGGGTACACAGATAAATTCCTACTGCTGTAAACAAACTCTGCTTGCTGTGTGTAAGGGGGAAAGAAATAAATAAGGGGGGAAAGGGAGCAGAGAGAAATGAAAAAATTAACCTGTGATTTCCAAAGAAATCTCTAAGAGTGCAACACCCTGATACTTTGGATTTAACTAACGTTCTCTGCTTGAATAATTTCATTAAAGCGTAGGTGTTGTCTCTCTAATACTGAAATGATGTTTTGAGAATAGGCGTAGCAAACTAGAATGAGACATGATATTAAGAAGAGAACAACTGTCAGAAAAAGTTTGCCTTTTGTTTACAGCTACACTRTTTACTTACACTGTTCATATTTTCTTCAAACTTTATGTGTCCTTAGTCCATCAGAGAAGCACCACGACCGTTTTTAAAACATTCCCTTAATACCAAAGATTTGTACTTTGTTTAATTATTGTGATTGCTATTTTCAGAAGCCAAAATACAACTTATTTTGCTTTTATTATGATTAGAACTGCCAGAGACAGTTAAACACTGATCTGAAGTTCGGGTGCAGTCAGTATTCATAAATAGACAAAATTAATAACCTAGTGCCTGCTCACAGTGGTTTGGGTTCATTTTAGTTTTAAGCACTGCAAGTCTAGAATATATTCCAGATTTTGTTTAGGCAGAACGATCAGCTGAAGTCAACAGGAACTCACCAGTGCATAGTTAACTGTAGCTCAGTAGAATGGTTATGTCAATGGGGTTTTCTTTTCCCCCACCAGTTTAAACACATTTTGAGTTTTGTCCTGAGACYCTGCATATTGAATTTTGAGTATATTTTTTAAAAAAGGAAATAGTACTTATTTATTCTATTCTGTAGTTATTTTCTGAGTCTCCAAAAACTGACAAGAAATGAAAGACAGCAGGTAGTTATAAATTACAAGGCCAATGCAGCTATATTAAATGATGGGTATGATTTTACAGATCACATCRTGCTAAAGTTTATTCCACCTTACTTGTTTTAAACTTAAAATATTTTGAAAAAAATCAGTAAAACCCAAAAAACCCCGTGTTTGGCTTAAAAGGAATAATCCAACTTTAGAATCAATCTCCTAATAAAAAATGGTGATTAGATTTTTCCTACAGTTGCAACTTTGCAGGCATTTCTGTGAATTAACTAGAAMAGGCATGAGTATCAGCTCTTTACTAACAGAATTTACCAGGAGGGTTTTTTTAATAGAAGTCAGGGCTTAATTCTGCTCTCACCTAAAGGACAAATCACTTTATCAGACCAAATTATTCTTGCTACCCATTCTCCTGTTTGCCAATACGTAAAAAGCAGAGAGAGAACAAACACAGATCATTTTACATCAATTTTCTCTTCATAAGCATAATACAGAAAACACCAATATGTTCTCTTTTCTCAGCTAACAGCAGCCGTAAACAGAACTTCCAGATAACACTGCTTTTTAACCTCAGTTGGCTATTCCATGGTGAGAGAATGCCAGGTACTACAGATCTCTAGAATTGGATAAATAATCAAATTCTGAAATTTCCATGCAGAAGGTCTTGTGACCAGTGATTGAGCTACGAATAGCACATTGATATATTGTTTCCAAGTCAATTGTGGAAGCTTATTATGTTTAATTTTATATATTATCTTCACAGTGACATTTAAGTAGTATTTCCTAATGAAAATTTAAAATTTTAAGAGAGTACGGAAGTTTTGATTACTCAAAAGTCATCAGCGAAAGAAAACACATGTTTTTAATTATTCATAAATATTTTAAATATTGTTTATCAGCAGAAGAGAAAAAATGGCAAATGGAAAACATCCCCTAGTGTAATTCAGTGTTAYTGTTGCTTCTGTGTTATGTGCTTATGTAGCTGTAATAGGTCAGAGCAGTTTCCAGGTAAAGGTCAAAACCTGTTCTTGTGTGCTGGAACACTGCTCAAAACAAATAATATGTTCCCCAGAGTTCACAGAGGTGATTTGGCTATTTTTAATAACCTTCTCTGTCAGTTCTTTGAATCACRTCTTACCAACATCTTGCTTTAACCTTACTTGCAATTACTGTGCTATTTGAAARCACACCATGTTGACTTTGGTTTGCTGAAAACAAAGAGCACAAAGTATTATTTTTCATTTATTAAGCCTCATGCTAACAAAKAGGCACCAAATTTTCATGTTCACAGAGAAGTATTTTCAAGATATTTTCTTTTTCAAAGCACAAATGGATCAGAAACTACCTCTTTAACTAACTGCCAAAACAAACAAAGAAAAACATCAAAAAAAAATTATTATTTTCATTATTTAAAAATGAAAAGTATTCATATCTGTGACGATACATATCTACCATGATACATGGCAGCCCGGGTAGGCACTAGTCATAGACACTGGTGACAAGACATTGCTTACATGTTTGTATTAGCAGTCGACGTCAGCCACTCCCCAGCCAAGCCAATAATGTCCAGTCCTGTGGACAACTGATTGAAAAAGCGAGGGTGACCTGAAAAGAGAATTGAGACCAACTTAGAASAAACTGTACCGGTATCTCTCCGCTTTCGATTTCAAACCATCCACCTTTTCTGACACAAATGGAGGTTCACACTCAGGACATTTGCAGCAAAGTTTTCAAAGCAAGTCCTGCTTATGGGGAGACTGATAGCCAACGTTCACGGATGTCTTATCACAAACTTGAAAAACCACTTCGGATGAGAGTTCCTGAATGGAATAATTTGTGTTTAAATTTAAGAGAGACTCTCAGAGCCGATGGAGCCTGTAAATACCTCAGGGACCTGCTCAAGCGCTCGGGCTAGCCCTTTGCCAGAGCCCTGTTCCGACCTCGGTAGTGCTGTGAATTCGAGCGAGCAGTGCACGGTGGGGAACACAYCCGTGGCAGTAACAACCTCCAGGTACTGGGGCCATTTGCATTTGAATGGAGAAAGAGAGGAAGACTCAGAGGCTGCGGCAGTGAGAGAGGGCTGCGGAGGAGCCAGTCTCCTCCTGAGCTACAAGGACACGGGAGAGAGGTTTCGCGGGCGCTGCAGCGGGGAGAGAGGGCTCCCCAAGAGCTCCTCGGCTCGGGCTCTTTCCCCACGTAGTTTATAAGCCAGCCTTCACCTCCTTAAACAGAACTTAGTATTGAACCGATGTAAATCATATTCCTCTATTTCGACCCAAGTTGCTTTAACAACTTTTATAACCAATAATCACGACTGTCGTGGYCTGTTTTTCTAGCAAGAAGAGGAGAAATTCCTAACAACCGATAAGGGGTTTCGTGGGAAGGTGGGAGTGTCATGATTTAGACTTCTCTGCTCTCCGGGAAAGGACACGCAGCGCACTGGGGACAGCCTAGCCCTAGAAGGGAGGTCAGTACTCGACTCCTGGAGGGACCCTGTCATGTCGCATTCGGTTCAACACTGGGAACATCAGCATCTTTTGACATGAAGAAACAAATGCGATTCTGCCCCGAGCAATGTCAGCAGGAATCTTTCGGAGGCGTGAGCCTGCCGGTGCTGCCACATCGCCACACTTCCTGAAGAGGATGCGTCGCACCCGGCCTGCTCCCGCCCGGGGAACGCAGTGGCTCGGGGCTAGAGCCCAGAAATATCACCATGGCTTAGCTGTTTGCTTTACGAATCAGCACTTCTCTTCCCTTCCAGGACACACGGACTGGAAACTTATCTTAAGCGACATTTCGCTGTTCTCCCATAACTGTTAATGAGCCTGCGCTCTCCGAAGGCTGCGCTGCAGATTCAGACCCGGTGACTTTAAAGGGAGCTTTGCCTGGAGAGATAATATGAGCCCCAGGAGTCCACGGCAGAATGTGTGTCCTGGGCACTAAGACGATCCGAGCAGCACTTTAAAGCTGCACCAGACACTGCTTGAACAGAGCTTTTCTGATCAGATACCTGCCTCTCAGGTCCCGGAGACAGGTCCTGTTAGTCCCACAGAAGCTTCAGGGGAGGTCGGGGAGAGGGGAGGAGGTTGCTCGACATGCCGCAACAATCACCAGCAGAATAAAGGTGCTAGCACACAGAGCGCAACCACCCTGACTTAGCTTCTGGCCGCTTGTCCAACAGCCCACGCGTTTGGGAGTGAAACACGCTCCCCTTTGATTAAGAGTACAAAAAATCAAAGTACGTTCCTGATTCGCCWGAAATTAATTAAACCACCCTGTAAGTAGGAAAAAGGACAGAACGCTACCCGCCACATCTGTTGCCAATATTTTGCTCCTTGAATGCACTGCGTTGCGTCTTGACGGTGGCAAAACAAACCGCAGCAGAAAGCTGCTGCCCAGCCAGASACCGCCGGGAAACAGCCTCCCCGTCTGAGCTCCAGCCACCCGCCCCTCCGCTCCGCGGGGACACCGCCACTCGCTGCGATCGAGCCGAGCCGAGCCGAGCCGGGCAGAGCTCAGCAGCCCTGAAACACTGGAGCAAAGATGCGAAGGGGAGACGGCGCGCCCGTCACCACTCCAGCTCCTGAACCGCTTGGATACGTGCAGCGGCCAGGGCTAGTCGACAGCCCAGATTTCTGTGGATACAATGTAAAACATTTCAGGGCAAACTGCCTGAAATAGCATGGGCTTGCTCTAGAGCCTGTCCACAGCTCACCCAGTAAAAGAAGTGAGTGTAAACCGGGATTTCCGTCTGATTCAGAAGGACCTGGACGGGCAGGAATCCTGGGTAATGGGCTGAAATCCACAGGGYTCCTTTATTGATGAGTCCTAGGATTTCCGTCTCTTTTTCATTAAACGTTTGATGAACATAAAAAAGAAAAATGGCAAATTCTGTGTCATTTATGCTCTCATTTACCTAATGATATTGCTCCCCRGAGATACAGACAGCTCGCATTTCATCACGTGAAAGAGATCACTTGTTAGAAACTTGTTTCGATCACGTCTTAAAAACTTGTTCCTGTGTTTTACAAACAGCACTGAGCCTTACCCAGCGGGTACAAGTGGTCATTGATAACTGAAGTTTCTGAGCAGAGACATCTCCAGCACCCACAGCCAGCCCTGGAGCCGAGSCTGGAGGGAGGCACAGTCACGGGTGTAGAGAGGATATGGGCTTACTTCTGTGAGCTCAATCACGCTTTCCTCACCATGAGCCTGAGAAGAGTCCCAGGAGGACTCGCCACAAAGTAGTGTACAAAAACCTACCTGTCCTCACTCCGTATTTCAGTGTGTCCCGACAATCCACCAGGATCTGCTCCAGGGACTCTGGGTTGTCCGAAAGCTCCAGGTTGAAGCCCTCCATGCCTTCCAGGAGCTGGTGCGGGTGGTGGAAGTCCAGCACTTTGGTAGATCTGTCAAAAGTCTTCCTCACGTAGTTGAGGAGGATGTCCACAACCTCCAGCAGGAACTGCGTGGTCTGCTCCTCGCCATTCTTGGAGGGCAACAAATCTGTGGGGCAAACCAGCKGTCAGGCTTGCTTTGGGAGAGAGAAGAAGAGATGAACCAGCCTCGGCTGCCCTTAGCACTCCGAGGATCTGGAAGTCGCGGCCCCAGCGCTGCCCGGTTGCAGCGGGGCAGGCTCCCCGTCCCTCTCGCCTCCTGGGGAAGGGGGAGCATAGGTCGCCCACGGCAACGGCAGAGGTGCCTCCGAGGCGCCCCGGCCAAAGAGCACGCCCTGCAAGGCTAAGGCAATGCGGTGTGAGGCACTCGCCTTCTGTGGGCCAAAAGTACTCGAAATCCGAACCTGCCCTTACTTTGCAACATCCCCACCTCCGCCCCACAAAGGGATTGATTTCCCTTTGCCACTCTTCTTGCAATGGCCCCGTASCAGCAACCACAGGCTGCTTAATTACTATTTTACTAAGAAGGACAAAAGTATAAAATTACTCTCCTCCCGGATACTGGATCTGAAGTAACCCCTGGAACCGCTGAAGCTGAGCTACWGAGGATCAGCCCAAAGTACATAAAACTGCATTTCAGGAGGCTTGCGTACATCACCAGTGCAGGTCCCAAAAACCACAAACGCACAGACAGGAAGAAGGAGCTTCCTTCAAAAACAGCCAAGCAAAAGCACGGTCTGAACGTRGCTGCACTTCCAGGGGAGATGAGGGCAAGGGACATGCCTGAGCTGGAGCAAGGAGAAACTGTAAAGTGCTTACCTCTGGCATATAAATTGGAAAAGTCTGTCTCGGTGCGCCGGAACCGGGATTCCTTCTCACTGTTCTCGCATGCCAGCAGGCTCTTGGAGGACTGCCTTTCCTTCAGAGAGCTGACGATCCGGCTCTTGTCTTCCAGGCTGTTGGTCCTCTGCAGGAACCCTACGTTATTATTGCAAGGTGCACAGGTCAGAGTTTTCTCACCTCCCAACATGTTTAGAAATATCTAAAGCAGCTCTCTAGACAACAGTTAAAAGCGGTGTTGGCTCTAGATCTGACAAATGAGGTCAGGAGTAAGGGTATTTATGTGGATTATTTGCCTCCAGGAGGGAGAGTTCAAAATGCCATCAACCGCAAAAACGCAACCATGCAAAAAACAAAATTTTGTCATTTAGTGCAATGGTAAATTCTTATTAAGTCGATCAGACAGATTCCACTTCAGTAATCAGCCACTGGAAGAGAGTTCAGGATGAGTCAATGCTATTTCAGCCTGCAGGCGAAGTTTATGGACCTAGCAGACAGGGGCAATGATGTATGATTAAAACCAGGGCCGTTTCCAGTTATCCTCGTGGTGCTCTCACGCACAAAAGGCATGAGAACAAGAAGCCATTCTGGAGCAGCCGTCCTAAGGGTGTTAGAGGTCTAAGGACACCAGTAGCACTCATATAACCCACCTTCCCATTATCAGTACGTACTGATGAGGATTTTCCACCTGAAAAGACGCTTTGATGTTAACAGTAATCATGTCCGGGGATTTCAGGAGCTCCGCTCTCACCGAAAGCTCATCTTTGGCGCGCAGGACCCGAACACAACTGCCGCTRTTATATGGCACGGCAATAATAAACCCACTCACCCTAAGAATTATGGGGGCGGGCGCCGCACAGACTCGCGCGGAGAGTAACGAGATCCGTCTACTTTAACAAAGCAGGGCRAGCAATTAATTTTCTGGATTTCATCTATTAAATCTATGATGCCCGCTAAAACAAGCATAACGTCGGGCTTTTCGTCGCCAGAGAAAGCATCGGATTTTGACCTTCCAGGTTGCAGCGAGCATGCATGTATGTTTGGTAGAGGCATTACTGCGGCGCCGGTCTCCTTCATTCTTTCTTTTCTTTTAAAACAAGCAACATTCGAAATCAGGTTTCGTCGCTACTGCGAATATCCACCAGAGAGGAGGGCTTAGCAGGGCGGAAAAACAGCGTCCTGAGTTCGCTCACGCACGTCCCCCGACGCCGCTTCTCTCCAGCGCCCTCCGCTTTCCAGGCCATGTGTCCCCGCTCTCCGGAGCCACGACGACGGACCGGGACTGAGGACACTTSCCATCGGGCGCCCACCGCCGTCCCGTAGGGGACCCCTGCACCTTGGACAGGCATAGGGGCTGAACCTCGGGGGAGAAAAGGGAGCGAGAGTGAGCTGCTGGGCTAATGGCTCCCGGCACGGTGCCTGTGCCTCTGATTCTGCTGCCAGCCAGGCAGCCACGAAAGACATACCGAAAATTGAGCATTCGGCTGGCAGCCCCTTCTGCATCTGTCGGGCACCCAAAAGAGTCTCCAGGAGGATCGCTCACAGGTAAGTATGTCGGGGTCATATGTCAACGGGGTGAACACCTCCCGTTTTGCTTTTTGATACTAATCTTCTACCGATTTTTTTTTCTGTGATGTTTTTTACGAATGAGACAAAGACTATTTAAGAGAAACTTGCTTCGTGGATAAGTTAACAGTAGCCTTGTATATATATATGTATATATGTGTACATATATATATGTATCTGATTAGTTATGTTGTTACTGCTTCCAATGGCTCTTGCAGCGAYCATTAAACTAGTGCTATGTGCCTGCTCATTAGGAGGAGCAGATGATGTCCAAGCAGGTGCAGTCTAAACTGAATTACGGATCCTCTTTTACCAGCTCCCGTGGCTTTATTGTGCTTTTTTTCCCTCCCCCACCAGTCTTTTTTCTAGGTTCTCAGTGGCGATGCTCAAGTAGGACGAGTTCCGTGAGAAGAGACGTCTGCAGGAACAGCGGCGCTCCCCTTTCCTCGAGAGCCGTGCTCCTCGCACAACTGTCGCTCTCTTCGGCGTGCAGACACGCGTTCCTCGGAGGCTGGGAAAGGAGGGAGTACCGCTTCAGCAGCAGAGAAAGGCTGCAGTTGTCTCCAATTCAACTCGCATAGGGCCCAGCGAGATCGTGGCGTCTCTGAAGGGTCTAACCTAGCTAGATGCTGTGGGCGCGGAGCTCATCCCTTGCCCGAAAGACTCTGCGGCTGTTCTTCCCCGCGGAGGCWCCGAGGCCCCATTGTCATGTCCCGAAGCCGGCGGCGGGGATCAGCTGGGGCTCGAAGCGGCTGCGCACGGGGCCTGTCACCCTGCGCCTCGTGGGGCCCGCGGGGCTGCGCGACCGCGCTGGGGAGACTCGAGGGCGGAGATTAGAGGACGAAAAAAGCCTGGAGACAGGTTCTCGCTGTCGCCCGATATCAGCCCATCCGGCTGGAGGTAACGTGCCTCTCGCCCAGGTCCCTCGGCAGAGACAGCCCCCGCTCTGGAGCCGCCGGACCACTTTGTTTCCCAAGCTCCTCCCTGGGAGAGTGAGGGACTTTCCCCAGCGCCGACCCGCACCCTGGGCTGCAGAGCAGAGTAACAGCTGGCCCTCGAGGGCCCCTTCCGCACCCGGGCAGAAGCGCATGACTGTAGCCGATCTTTCATCTGTATCCTACGTGAAAAGTGAGGCCGGTGTAAGAGMGTTCCAGCAAGTAGCAGAGTATGAAATAGTGCCCACGCTCCTTCTCCTGGTGCAGCGGAGAGCGCAGCCCTCCTCAGCAGTAGTTCCGTCTCGCAGGTGCATTTTCATCGATGCGCTTTAAGACACTGAGTTTTCAAATGCCGAGTGACACCAGACTGGCGAGGGAATCCCTACGTGCGCAACGCGAGCACAAATTCGGCGTCATTTCACATCAGGCCTCGCACAAGGCAGGTGTGTGAGCCCCCCTCTGCCTCGCAGCCCTTGGGGGACACTCAGATTCCAAGGCGGGGACAGATCTGCTGAGTCCCGCCKCGCCCCTCAGCTGTCGGGGAATGCACGTCGGTGGCGGGTTCAGGAAAGCGTTGTCCCCTTCCGCGGTCGGGATGTTTAGCACCACCTACGTGACTTGGCAGCATAAATCCCACGGACTCCGGAGACAGCCGAGTTTCTAACATACATGGCTGCCTTTGAAGCCCCACTCCACCGCGTTTCTCGCTGGGCTCGGAACCATCAGCTGTTCGCGGCCAGACAGTTRAAGACGCACCTGAGCGATTTTATTACGCTGAGCACTTCCACTGATGCCAAGCAAATGTTACCAGGATCAGTCCCAGCAATAACAATTGCCAAGGTGGGAGTGAAAGGTGTAGCATACAAATCCAGACACAGGGGGAAATCGGTCCATATTTTGCCCGCCGTGACAGTTCATTTAAATAGAGGGGTTTGGGGTTTTTTTTTGGCTTTTTTTTTTTTTTTTAAGTGGGTGTGTGAGGGATGAAGAGCGGGGGAGGGTGACAGATGAGGGTGGTGGCAGTGGTAACGCTCTTTTCAGGCGGTAGCTTTCAACCAGAAAAGGAAAAAAGCTAATCCTTAAATCGGTCAGTTATTTGAGAAGAAATGACACACGTCTTGGATACGTAATTATTGAAAATGTCGAACACATAATATACAAATCAGATAGAACTAACTCATTGTTCACGACCTGCCTTTTCTCTGAGATCAATCCTTATTTAAAGTTTACATTCAAAATTAATCGATTCCAGTGTGATAAACACAGAAAGAACAATTCCAAGACGTCTTTGTGAGTGTACGATATTTAGGGTCCGGAATGGTGTGTTGTGAAAGGTAAGGACAAGGAGATATCATCTGTTTTATAAGGATTCTTGGCAACCTTAATACTTCATTCTATTTGCCATACACAACCTTCCCTGTAGGTCTTTATGAAGGTGTTCGATGCAAGTGGGAGGGCTCCTACAAACAAAAACAGTGCTAGCGATCAAATCCGCGTATTCCAAACGGGCGTCATTATTCAGAGTATATTTTTCATGTAAAAGGGAAAATAGCCAGTAAAGGAAAACTGAGCACCAAACCGCAACTAAAAAAAAAAAAMAACCCCAGCTTGTCTTGAACTCCCTTCACAAAGCCTTCATTACACTCTCTTACGCCTTTTTCAAATCCAAAATGGTGGGATATTTCATTTTCAGTGTGTTTGATCTCATTAAGAGAAGCTACGCTATCCCTTTCTAACCCCGGTAGTCTAGCAACACGGAGCAAGCCTAACAGCGCGTTACTTTATCAGTTCTGCTTGCCGGGCTAAATTAAAATGATGGTGAAAATGCCCATCGCTCCAGCCACTGAGGGACTGGTAGGGAAATGGTCCATTAAACGCAGATCAGGAGCTATTTATAGAACTAAGCGACTACTCGTTAATCTGGCCAGCGGCTACCAATGAAATCTCTCACAGACACAGGGCTAAACATTTGCATCTTGATTCTTTTCCAGTTCAAACTTCCAGGTGACAAAACGTTTAGTGAATGAACTTCGACTCGAGCAAGCAGGGAAAGATGTTWAAATGTTTCTTTGCATCGAAAAAGGTGTGTGTTTCTCCCACAGCGTATTTCCCATCCCCCTAAAAGAGGCAGGGGGAAAGGGGAAATAATTTTTATGCATAAGAGGTATGGGCTAAACTGAATTATTCTCCCTTTCAAAAAATGAAGATTTGACTGTTAGTCCCCGAAAGCGAAGGTGCTACTTAGAAATCTGGAGAAGGGAGACAGCTTGTTATCTGCAAATGAATCTCTTGCTATAACGTTGTGATCTGATTGTGCATTTGTTTCCCTTCTGCATTTCATGTGCCTGCGCGCTGACTGGCTGCCWGCGCTATCTTAGCAGCGCAGCAAGCTGACGAATTGCTCTTTAACAAGGCTCTCGTTAATCTTTTTTYCCCAGGAGATCCGTATTTTCTAGTCAGATAAGATTGAAAAATTTCAGACAGTGAGAGGAGGCGAACCTTCCCCCCCACCAACCCCCCGCTTCCTCCCCGCCGGCCTCCCCGGCGGGTCCTGCGCTTTCTTCGCCCTGAGCGCCCGRCGCCTGCACCCCTCGGTGTGTGGCAGGAGAGGCAGCGGGGCCGCAGGCGACCCCTCCCCGGAGGACAAAACCTCGAACCGCGAGCCCGGGCACAGCGGCGGGGCCGGGGCCGCCGAGGCGCCCTGCGGCCGGCAGGGGGCGGCCGAGGCACGGCCCGGGCTCGGGGCGCTCGGCCGGGGCTGCCCCCCGCGGGAGGGCCCCGAGCCCCCGCCGGGCGGTCGCGTTGTCACGCGTGGGTGTGTGGGGTAGCATGGCCGGGAAGCATGGCCGCACTTACCGCATATCTTCAGCCCAATCTTCCTGGTGCACCCGTGAGCTACGCCGCACCACGAGTCGTAAGCTGGAAGAGAGAGCGGAGCTGTTCCCCTGGGGCGACGGGGCTGCCCGGCCGCCGCGCCCCACCCCGGGCACGGCTGCACCGCCGTAAGAAACAGCTGATTCCGAGCCCGGCGGCGCTGGGCGCGGGGCAGCTGAGGCTCGGATGAAGCGAGGTGACATGCTGGCCTGCCCAGGGGAGAGGGAAAGGCACCCGGGACCCAAACATCTCATCATTTACTGGCGGGGCTCCAGGGAAGTAGCAGCTTAAAAATAAAGTGGCGTGAAATGGGGTCACAAAAGAGTTCAGGAATTAATTGGGTGAAAAATAGCRTTTGACTAGATGATCGGACTCGCATCACTGAGCCTCGGACGGACTGACGGGCCGCCGACGGCCCTAGTAGCACCGCACCCCCAGAGGGAGCAGGCTACTTCCCAGCTCCGGGAATCGTGGCTCGGACACGCCCCGGTCGGCCCCAACTGAGCCCACGGGAACGGAGARCGAAGCCCAGGACCGGAGTGGAAGGGTCGCTAGCCGCGGCCCCGGGCAGCGCAGAGCGTCTCCGGTCCCTCGCTCGCGGCACGGGGCAGCCGCAAGTCCGACAGCGACGGACCCCAAAGGGTGACTGGGGGATGGGAGGCGTTGACCTGGCGTTGGGGCGTGAGGGGAGAARGTGTCAGAGGAGCCGGGACGAGGACGGCTCACCCAAGCACGGAGGGCAGCGATCCGACTCTCGGGGAGGGGGAAGCGGCACGGCGCTCCCGACCGGGCGGAGAAGCCCTCTCGGCAGGGGCGCTGCCAGTGCCCGGGGGCGGGAGCCCCTGTGGGCAGGGGAAGGGTGGGGTGCTGCTGCCAGCGGTTGTCTTAGTTTTAGCCGTGCTGACAATTAATTCGATTTCTGCGATTTCTGAGTGCCCTCAGTCGAAGGCAGAAGCGCCTGTCACGCGCGTCTGAAAAAAGACCCAGAGCTGCCGTTGTCCCCCTCCCCCGTTTTTCCAATTTCAGAATAATGACAATAATGACTCCTGTGCTGATGCCTCGTAGCTCTTTCAGGGTACAAGCTATTCCCCGCTCTGCCGTCCCTGACAACCTTTCATTTCTTACTGTTGCCCGCTCTTTGTCTCTGATGCTTTACAGCATCGAGCCTCTTTTTTAATTTTTTTTTCTTTTTTTTTTTT